GAGTAGAATAGTCGAAAAACAGCAAAGTTGTTATTTATTGTATGATAATAAATAATGCTACATAGGGGCCGAGTCATGTACAAACATTCAACCCACATATAGTGGTTAAATAGCAATTATAACAAAATAGTACAGTGAGCAAGTTAATTCAATAATCTTTAAAGATACAAATATATTTATATCCCGTATAAACTATTTATTTTTTTACTTCTTTTACGTGTGTAAGTAGTAAGTACTAAGTAGAGAGAAGGATATGTTATTGGTTTTGAATAACATGTGAGTATATGGAGTGAGGATCCGTCGCTAAAATCCCAGATGGTCATCCATCCAGGAGCTATAGCAACGCCAGACGATGCCTAATCAATGCATACATTAGCGACAGTGGATCCCCTTTCCACTTATTGGCTATTATTAAAATAATTATGCGATATACGATTATACAAACAATTAATTATATAAGTGAATTATATTGTAAAATGCATCAATCTAAATTTTGTTCTATTTCTTTAGTTTTATTAATGTACTCATAAGTACTATCACTTGATTTAAATATTATAATATGTAGGTACATATTATGGATATCGATTAATAAGAAAGAAAAAAATATCAGTTTTTCTAAATATATTTTTTAAAGTAAATAACTACTATTACAGAAATACAGAGAAATTTAAATGTACCTACTAAAAATAATATAAATAATTTTTTTTCTGTAAAAGTGTTATCATAATATAGTAGCGTTTTAATAAAAAGATTATAAGAAACATTTTTTGGTTTTTTAGAATTTTTCTTTACTTTGTACATCACGAAATAATGTTTTTTCGTACTATATCCATTATAATGTTATCATGCTAATTGAATAGAATTTTATATTTTTATTTTTATTTCCTGAGGGTATTTTCACGTAGAACCATATTAATTTAAATTCTTAACTATAGTGAAAATATAAAAATCAACAAACTATAAAACAAAGAATACAAAACATATAATTCATACAACAATGATATTTATAGCCATAAAAAATAACCTAACCATATTGTTGGTTTGAAAATATGTTTTGTACATATTTCAAAAAATGAGAACCTACAGTTTGGAAATCAGGAATACTTTATAGAGCCAGTTTTTTTATAATACACATAATTTAACATTAAAACGGTTGTTACAATATCATATACAAATCTTTAAATTTGGCCATAATTTCATACCTTTAAACTTCTAAAATGTTGTCCATATATGATTTATCAGTGACACTTTATGCCAAACAGAGGGAATGTAAAATGATTTTGATGTTAGGTAATAATTAAATTTGGCATTTAATTGTTAAATAGAGTAAAATTTATTAATGTATTTTTATTTATTTTTCTAGCACTGTTTTAACAAGTTTTAATTTGAAAAAAAACATAAGTTTTTATTGCTATTAGAAACTCTTTAGTAAAACATTCAATCTCAAGTATTTAAAATATCGTCTTGAGTGCATTTAAAATTTCCAAAAACCAGAATTTGATTGTATTATGAAATTAAAAAATTAGGGTGAGCATGCTTTAATGAATAGCTCTATTTATATTGTTTTAATATTTTTTTATCGCTAAAGACTAATTATTTCCAAATTATCATTGCTCTAATATTTCCTTGGCCTATTATCATTTATAATTAATATTTAGTAGCTCAAAAACTACTTTTTTGAATTTCAATTAACAATGTATAATATACTTCCCTTATTTTTTTAAATTTATGCTATGAAAATAGTTTTAGTCGTACATTACATTCGCAGATTTATTCCTAAGGAGGGTATCTAATTTAATTTTTTCCTTGAAACAATATAAATATGTATTAAAATCTACAGAGTAAACAACTATAATGAATACAGGTATGTTATTTTAAGATTCAAAAGTAATATTTCTATTGTTTAACTAAATGTTAACACTCACTACGATTAAATTAAGATTTTATTGAATTATATTATTATTATACTATATGAATTGTTTACATTTAATTATTATACTTGGTTATTAAGTTGTTATTACTTTTAAAATCCTTTTCAGTTCATTAAGTATAAATGTATAATGCATATTCAATATACCTAAACTCAAAAATAAATAATGCGGATTTAGCAACAAWTACATTGTTTTAATATAATAATATATTTACCAATAAAGCTTCCTTTTTGGGCATACGTATCATCATCATATGGATTCCCGGACATTCGGGTATACTAGGAAACGAAATCACCGACGAATAAGCCTCATTAGCCGTTAACGATAATGAAACCTTGTTAATAAGCCAAATGTCTTACAACGACGCAAAAAATCTTATTAATGTATATACAAAAAATAAATGGTTAAGTATCTGAAATACGCAAAATACCAAACTTAATGAAATTGAAAGAGATACCTATCGTTAGGTAAATCCAAAGCTTAACCGTAAATAATATACAGTACTCRACAGACTTCGCATTGGACACACTAAAATCACGCACGGATTCCTGATGGCAAAAGAAGAGCCTCCCATTTTTCAAACCTGTGGAACTATTATGTTAACCGTCAAACACATAATTTCTGACTATTTATTGAACAACCAAGAAYGAGTTGAGCACAGGATATCATACAACCGGGACTCCGCACTCGGTCCCTATCCTGAAAATAACTTAGATTTATTGAATTTTTTTTAAAACATTCTAAACTGTATAATCATATAATATATTWAAAAAATATACATCCCATTTTATTTATAGCCCATCTTTGTAAATATCGTTGTAAGCACTTATTCATGCATATTTTTTTAACTTTCTGTAACTAACGGCCTTTGCTGTCGATGTTTTTTTTTGTGATCGATAAAAAAAAATATCTTTACTTAACTAGATAAGGTGATGAATTATTTTTTAAATACGCATTACATAAAAATATGATTTAAAATTAGATATCTACCTAATAAAATGTATTACTAAAAATTAAAAATATGGTTTTGTTTTATAATAACAKAATATTTCTTAGTTCTTAATTTCTTATAGTTCATATTTCCGTAATAGCAATACACACTAATACGATTTTGTATCTTAATAAAATGGGTATTGAAAAAAATGTTACAAAATAAAACTGTATAGCTACGCAAAATTGCCTATATACTTTTTGCGTTACTCAACTTTTTCCGAATAAAGTATCGTAATTAATACTATCATTTTTTAATTCAAAATCGTTATAAACTTATGTCGGAATATACGTTTAGCATTACATTTTTGAAATGTTTAATGACGCCTAAATACATATTCATGGCAAAATACATGTATCATACATGTATTTCTTTTACCACTTGCATATATGCCAATATTATAAACGGTATAAGTCTAGTAATACAAATGATTTTATTTTTGCAGGGTGCAAACTTAGAAATTTATTAGCCAGCACCCACCTCTCCATCGTTAATTATTATAAGTTATATGAATTTATCATTCAATATTATACTTACATTTATAATAATATACATACTTAYATAAATTTTACCAGCTATTAAAGGATTCACCATATAGGTACACACAAACTCACCAYCAAATCATTTTTTTTCGGAGGGAGAAGTGCCTCTCCTGGTCTCCTGCACCCAATAGTTTGCGCATTGYGCTACTGTACGCGCCTAATGAAATTAAACTCATTTATCCAATGTAATAATTATTTGCGTGTATCAAAAATCAATAGTCACTCTAATGACAATGAAATCAAAAAAAAAATCAACCAATTCACCGTCCATTTATGCATAATATACAAACATAGGTTCAACAAAAAATTGTGTTAATATAGGTAATACACATTCGCACGTTATTTTCTAGCTTAGAGAATATAGTTGTAACACTGTATGATGTTAAACATTAAATTTAGAACCAGAAATTGGTTAATTTTTATTGACTGTAGGATAAGGTTAAAATAACAAGAACTAATGTTTGAATTAAGTATAATGACAATTGCAACCACAATAACGTAGAAACTATTATTAACTACTTTAGTTACTTGGTGAATTAGCTATCATCAATTGCTGAACAAAAGAGTMCATTACGTAAAAGTTTAAAAAAATAAGGCAAATTAGCTATTATTTTAATTGTTAATTAATAGTTAAATTAGCAACTGAATTTATTATTTAATTGTTAAAGTTCAAAAAAATGTTGCGAAAATAAACCCACTATTGGAGTGAACGCAGTATGATGGAAATAAAATTGAATCAATCTGTATACATATTATAATGAAAGGTAAACAAATGTATTGGAATTATATGCCTTTCACTAGATATTTTCTGAAAACAATTTTTATAGTAAATTTATAAAAATGAATTWGCATTCAACAAAATGTATATTATTATATTCTTGTTTTTAACCATATGAATACTTAGTCGTCTATACAAATTAAGCCATTATTTTGAAAAAAAAAAACTATTTGCATTATTTAGGGCTGTTATCATAATATCTCTCAAAATTTAATTTAACCAACAATTAAACAAGCGTATAGACTAATGTATCAGGGAACTTAGCAGGTGATCTAGAATAAACCATTATTACGTACAATTTTACCGTAAATACAACTATAACCATCAGTTAAATAAATTTAAACATAATTAACATTTTCATTGGCTCATAATGAATCAGCTGTTAATAACAGATGTACTGATAACTGAACTTTACAGATTTTTCAATAAAGGTGAATACATTGTARTATAAATATATAACAAATAAATTGATAATACATTATTAAATTAATATTTTATTCATACTACATTAATATAAAAATATAATATAATATAATAGAAATGCGATATACAAATAAGTTTAAAAATACTAGTTTGTAATCAACGCATAATATATGCATAGCAATTGTTAAATGTTTGTTTCTCATTGTTAATTACGAAAGTCCACTTTAATAAAAAAAAAAAAAAAAAAACTACATCCCATTTTTGTCAATATTATCTTATAGAATCCGAACGTACTCGCATCACAACTTAATATACATTTTAACCAGACTTGTTGGATGTTTTACACATCTGACTCATCGTTTTTAGCACACAGGAGCCTTCATTTATGGAAAAAGATCGGTGAAGGGTCATTTTCCAAGGTTTACTTGGCCAAATTCGGAGATACCGAGAACGATAAAGCAACACTGATCGCAACAAAAGTGATCAACAAGAATCGCGTTTCCACTAAGTTTGTGGAAAAATTCTTACCCCGTGAACTAGACGTGATGATCAAACTTAGACATCCGTTCATAGTGCAAGCAAGTATAATACTTATGAAATAGACGAATCACACGTTCCACAATATTTTACTTTATGGTGCATTGAGGTAAATTGATTTAAGATAACAACGATAATATAATAGATACCACAATACCAATCGTGAATATAAAAATCTGAAATGTTTGAGGATGACTACATTTTTATAGAAAACGATTATAATATAATTTTGTAAATTATAAATATTATAGATTCTTATAAGTTCTTTATAGATTTAGTACCAATATCAATTTCGAGTTGCATAAACAATCGCTAAACATTTAACGAATCAATAGTGAGCTATCCCTTAAACATGATGATTGGTCCATTTAGTTTTATAAAACTATTAAATTAATCAATTTTTCATGCAACTTGGGATASCAATTTTATTTATATAGATTTTAAGAGACATATAAAATACAAAAAATACCAACCTGAATCCACACCTAACCTATACCACTTCTAAATCATAATTTTTGTGAGCTGTTTCCCCTTTTTTTCGCCTCATTTATAGTACCCAAAACGAGTGTTACATACTCATTTCTAACCATTTAAATGTTTATAAGTGTATGTTATAAAGATGCGTCCCAATGGTATGATGGAAATATTTAAAATATTCTTCATTCAGTTAAGATTATTTTGAATAAAMTTATTGTATGTAATGTGTATATAGGTGTTTGTATGGTAAATCACATGGACTTTATTTAKCCCACTCGCATGCTAACCCATGCAAGTGTTTGTCGAAAAGATACATAGTTGATATTAAATTCCACCAAATAACTTTGTCATTCTCAAATGAAACACATTATTGGAATAAAGTAATTTACAAACATGAAAATAATACTCTAGTCAGAAATAGACCCACACAACACAATAATCAAAGGCAAATAAATTTCAAAGTTAACATTTTTAGTGCTAAGTTAAGTCCCTAGTAACACTTAACGAAAACATATAGCTTTTTGTCAAAAACGAAATTTTAGTACTATCAATTTAAAAGGCACTGAAAAAATAAAGCTATCTAATTTTTTGTCACGTCCAAATATTTTTTTTACTTCACCAAAGTCACATAAAATATATTTGTTTTCGTTGAATTCAGCCACAGTATAAAACAAAAAAAAACATATTTTTTAAACTAAAAATGAAATTATTTTTATTTTAAATATGAAATATACAAATAAATGTAATTGTTTACATTAATCGCAAGATCAGTCRTACTTAACAAATTATTACAATGTGATGCAGTTGTAGTATAGGTATAGCCATATATGTAAGTATATAAGTACTATATTATATCTCCACTGGTCCACAGCATTTCTCGTCGGAATGTTTCAGCTTTCAGCGACGTTGACCATTGAAATTATTGAAATTATTGTTTTAATATGATTTGATGGTAATTTGTATCATAACAATAAGCAATAAATGATAACACGTAAAAAAATACGTTAAGTAGGTAGTAGGTACCTACCTACCTATATATTTGCAGTTTCGCTTGTAATTTGAAATGAGTGTCACTAGTAGTCCATCTATAGACTATGTTTACCTAAGTATAAAACAACAGTATGAACAACAGTGTTTGTTACATTGATAGGTACACCTACCAAGACTTAAGTAGGTAGGTAGTTCTAAACGGATAGGTAAATTGATAAAGTTCAAACCTATAGGTATTTAAGTATTTTAGATATCATAACTGGTAAACGCATAAATGCGCAAAAGATAATATTTTATCGGTAAAGAAAAACAATTAGTTAGCATACATATACATATATGATAATTACATTAGTAAAATATCCAAAAAATGTTGTTCGAATTAAATTAATGTATTATATAACAGAAATACATGATTAGGTACAGCATTCAAATTTTGATTTT